ACAAAATACGCCTATCAACGCTCCAACCACAGTCACTAGCCAAAAGGCTAAGACATCTGTTTCGCCGATGTTCAGCTGCTGTATAATGCAACTGTGAGGAATTCAGCTCCTCTGTGAGTCTCTACTGTTCTCTGTGGTTTTTTGGTATTATTCTGGAGCAGCACTTACCATGTTTTGTCCTGATTTTTCCTCGAACATCTGAAACGCGAACTGACGCAATCGAACCTTCATTAGTACCTTCTCAAACCGAATGCTACCTCTGTACTTTCCTCCCCCAAGAAAAGTAAGCGTGTTATTATGCCATGCTCATCTGCCTGAAAAAGTTGCAATATCGCTTTTTAAAAGAATGACTCACATAACGTTGAGCTGAGTAGCTGCCCCAAACTTACCTGAAAGCTTTTAGACTTTAAAAGGAAGAAATTGAAGTCTTCTGCTCAGTAGACGCAGACACCTTTATTCTCTATGTTCCTTGGCCAGTCAGAATTTCACGCTGTCTATTCGTACTAATTGTTCGCTCTGCCGTAGTCCTCCTCTGTGCTTGAGACTTCTTGCCTCCGTTTAGACGCCCGAGCTTATAAAGGAACTTGAGGCTTTGCAGTCCACTCCCTCCGGCGACGCTGCCACCCGCCAGACCATCTCCGAATTCCCCGCCGAGGTCTCCGATGTCCAGTCAGCCAAAAAACTGGTTGAGTGTATGTTTGCTCGTGCTCATAATCATTTGTTTGTTCCACTACCTTCAGAGCTTCCACTGCCATCATCCTTGCTCGTGGACGGCACACTCCCTTATCAACTAGAATCCTCATCTGCGAGACGGTGTCGGTAGATTTGTGGCGAACACAGTGACTTAAAGAACAGGTGGCCGATATCCAATCCTGAGGTCCACATAGCTGGTTAGCGCATGAGGGGAATCTACCCTAGAAATCCCCAGTCGAGGATGAAGTCAGATGTCAGGGTTGATGACAAAAGTGGACAAGCACGTGGGTGGCCGATGAACCAATTGGCGTGCTTATGCACATTATTGGCGAAAATTAAAGGAACATTCTTCCGTAGGTAGTTAGTATGCTACCTTGTCAAACGCTGCAACGAAATTCCTACCACCGAGAGTAGGGCTTAGGGGGACTTTCTCTGTAATACCTACCGACCCCTTGGAAGTTCACCAAGTGCGACTTGTCAGTCCTCAAACCCTTGAAGTCTATTGTAGTCAGCTCAAGACGCGAACCGGCGCAAAGTATATTTGGCCACACACCGATATTGGATTGCCACACTCTCAGCACACCTACTACCTGTAAGTCCTTTCATGTACGAGGAACCACACACACAGGGAACGCCGAGACACCCATTGATGCTCCAAATCCCTCCCAACACCACACGTGTCTGCACTGTTAACTAGTGCCTGTGTTGGCGCTATAGCAGACCAATTTCGATGCATGTTTACATGCAGCCGATTGCCCTATGCGTAGCTTATGGATATTGTGAGACCATTCCACAGAAGCCACCCGGTTCCCGGTGGTGCCTCGTAGGTCAGCTGGTTAGAGCGTTGGCTGTACTCAAGCCCTGCCCTCGCTGTCGTGGGTTCGAATCCCACCGAGGCCTTCGAGTTTCTCAAAACTGTGTAGGCAGGCTTAGTTTCAGGCGCACTCTCCCTCTCAATTGGGATCCATTTTTTCTTGTGTGGATTTCTAGTCTGTGTACCTTGTGGATCTGGGGGTGTGGTGGTACGCCGAGGCGCGGGTCTCCGCCGTGCCAGTCACCTGTGTCCTCTCCCGCCCCCGGTCTTCTTCACTGTGTCCTGTTGCTGGGCCTAGGTGGAGCGGAGGAGGAGGAGAGAGTGCGGTAGGTGCAGTGCAAATCTTCTATTTCTTTAAAAGAAATCACGCGCAAGTCTCCGACCCTGCTGTGGAGCAGACGGTAGGCATCACCGGTCACAACGATCGGACTGTCAATCTCGTATTCACATGTTTATTAAGCTGTTTAAGAAATACACAATGTGATCCAAATCTACCCCATTATTTCACAGACATCAGACACATAAATAAAAGCCGTGTTTTAGGGAAAATATAGATTGTACTGGCTGATGGTTCTTCCCCCCTCCGGAACGGTACGTGCTGCTCCGAAGCAAAAGAGTGACCAACAGTGCCCTATAATATGCGTTAGCGGAGCTGTGGTACGCCTGTTTGAGTCCGTATGTGACACACGTGGACGGCGGCTCTAACGCCACACCAAGCCTTATGCCCAGTTTCATTATCAATCGGCTGAGATGCTCGGACAGTTCCCAGACGCGTGGAGGAGACGAGAGTGTGACCGATCTCGTGCGCTCAGTCAGTGAAATGTCGCAGATTCTTAAATATGTTTTCAATTAGAAAGCAGTACTTAGGGTGGGGCTGTAATATTGACTATCGTGAAGTATAATACCAAGATATTTCAATCACGCCGGGATGTGGACGTCCGAATGCATTTCTTTCCGGCCTTCTGCAAAACTCGCACTCTGTAAAGATTAACAACTTAAGTAGTGTGAGTTTTTCCCGTCGATTTTCGATGCCGTTATTATGAGTTGTCTGAAGGACCATTTCAGACGAAGAGGGTACCCATAGGCTAGTCTGACCAGGATGTCTAGCATGTACTTTGAATAACCCAGCAGCCGGTAAATACACAGGTTGCTTTTCCAACTCCATCCACCTTTTCTAAAGCGGAGTATCCATACCTTTAAGTGCCAAATTTGAGGAAAGCGTGGTTTCAAGTGGCAGTTGTTTTGTGGAATTCCAGTCTCACGTCCAGAAAAGTAGGTTCTGGGAGGGTGAGGGAGGAGAGAGTGGTAAATGCTGACAAATCTGTTATCATAAACTAATTCACACTCACACAAGTCACTGTTCCTGAGCCCACCTTCCTGTGGGGCACACGGCGGTCATCGTCAGCAACGATGGTCGGGTGTAGTAAAAGAAATGTGCACGTATCGCTACTAGGACGTACGATTTGTTGTCTCAGGTCTGTAGAAAGCCCCATTCAAAATTCGCTGAAGTCCCTTTACGTGAATGTAGGTTTTTGGTTAGGTGGCACTGAGCGGTCAGCAAACGTACCAGTACCGCTGACTCACCCTGTCCTCCACACCCCCCAATGAGACCGCTAACCCCATCTCAGCCACCGACGACAATTCGGCCGTCGATTTCGCCGATGTCCTCTGTGTGGTTCAGACCAGGAGGAGAACAGGGACGGTGACTTGGGCGCGGATTGGTTTATAGTGACGGTGGATTTGCACAGCATCTATCACACTCTCCTCCTCCCCCATTTGAGCTCAGTGTCATGACTAGGTCAAAAAGACCGGCGGTGGGAGAGGGCGTAGGTGGCTGCCACGGCGGAAACCCCCATCTAGGCGAACCCCACCACACTGGTCCATCACGTACAAATGACCAAAATTTTACACAACAAGAAAAAAGGGGGCGGCAGGAGTCCCAGTTGGTGCGCCTGCTCCAATTGCAGGACAAAGTGAGATGAAATCGGAGCTGGGCATGAGTGTATTGGCTAACGCGGCCCAAAGCGCTAATCTGCGAACCGCACACATGTTCCGGTCGCTTAACCTCTACTAATCAATACTTGATTGTTCAGAGGTCATGCTGATGAGAGTAGGGACGGTGGCCCGCTTGTTAACTAGTTAATATTGATAATGGACTTGCGCTGCATCTACCGCATTCTCACCTCTTCCCCTCCCCCCCCCCATTTGGGCCCGGTGTCGAAATACAGCCAAGAAAGCCGACGGCTGGAGAAGTCGTTGGTGACTGACACGGCGAAAACCCACACTTGTGCGTACCACCACACCCCCTCGTTCACGACAAACACTTCAGCGGTGACAGCTGTAGTATAAGTTGCAATGGCAGCAAGGTTTTCAACCACAGCAGCAGCAAATATGGGGGAACGGCAAGAATCCCAATTGGCGCGGCGTGAGCCTGCAACTGGGCCCACTACCGCACCCCAAATGTTGGCATTTGTTGTGGTGCTCATTCGCGATAACGCCCGCCGAAATCCGATGTAGCTCCGTGTTGGTCCAATGCATCTACCACATGGTCCGTTTTGGAGACATATCTGCTACCAGCCTGCTCCCCCCGTCCCCTCCTTTCTTCCTTCCCGCTTGACTGACTAAACTCTGCGTACCCCTCTTGCGCTTTTAACATCCTGGCCTCTCTTCTCTGCCCCTGCCACTTACTGCATTTTATAGATATATATTCTTCTGATGATTATCGATTGATTGAAAATTTGCAAATGCGCGTCCACCAAAAAGGGCTCACTCAAATATGGTTGGATCGTATAAACATAGAAGACCATCAGTGGAAGAAAGGGCGCCTCGTATAACAAGTAGCCACATTATTCCGAATGATTTTTTGAGATTCAGTTGATGTGCTGCATGCTACTGTGTTACGATGTTCTATACTAACCAATATTGCGATCTTAGTTAAGCAGTCTTTTGCAGGTGAAGGCCTCCCTAAAAGTATCTCCCGTGGGTTTCGGCACAATGCCCAATTCCCCCCATTTCTCTCATCATGTGGACACCACTCTAACGTTTTATAGAACTGTTCGACGGAACAAACTTTCTGAAAATAACACCGTCTGTATTTTGTCATTGAGAGCACTTGCCGGTCTGTTTAAAGCGACAGCACATACCTTTTCACCTTTAGATGAGCCATCAGACCTTTGTTAGTCACCATATACTGGCTTTGGACTTCATTATGACAACTACACCACCTATCACAAATGCATAAAAAGCTAAGTCGCCTCCTAAGTGTCATTGAAACTTTGAAGGCTGTGCTCTCCGGCTTCTCAAAACGTGTTAAAACGTATCTTTAGAGATGCCCCTTCTACGGACTAGAGATTAACTTGGTATATTTCTTGCAGATTTTTCAGATTATTCATTAGGGGATCTGAGTTATCTTGGGCCAATCACGAGCCCTCCTTTACGGCCACCGTCAATTATTCTCACAGGGCATTCTTCACGGCCACTGCGGGCTCGGCGTTCTGTCTACTTCCATCCGGTGTCCGAGTGGGGGGGGATTGTCGTGGCTAGAAGTTTAGCTTCATCCATTCCATTTCTTCTGTCTTTTAGTGGATAAGCAGAAGGCCGAACAGTTGCTGGAACAGGTGAGGGGTGCCCTGAATCAGTTGGACGCTTATAATCACCTGTTAGACGAGGAAATGGGTCAGCGAACTCACCTGGGACTGAGCCTGCCCGCGTATCGTTCCTTCTTAGAGGAGGAAATTCGACAAACACGTGCCAGTATTGAGGTATGCTCGTTTTGCCTATTTTTTTTAAAGTCGCAGTTTTGCACTTCCATGCCCTATCCCCTGAAGTGTTAACCAGAATTGTGGAACGTGTCTTCGATTAGGGAGCGTTACCCAGGTGTGGTTGTAATGTTGATTCGCATGCAGCATGGTCCCAAGGGATCCTCCAGTCACGCCAGGATGCCGAATTTTAAATGCACTTCTCTCTGACCGCCTTCAGGAAGCACATTCAGTAAAATGACTATTTAAGTAGTCTGATTTTCTCCCATCGAATTGCGATGTTCCCATTAATTCGAATATATTTCGTAAAAAAACATGCATAAAAACATTTACTTACTTAGAAGCAGATTACGTTCTCTTTAGCTTTTATATTCGGAAAGAGAGAGTACCTTTGGGTCTTACAAACTTTGTCATTACGGCATGTTTAAGACCGCGAAATGTCCATTCGTAGAGCCTCTTATCGGTACGTTTATTAATGGCGCTTATGGCGCATGCAACATGATCCCTATGCACTGCAAAATTCTGTCTGTCCTGTGTAACCTTTTCTTCGGCAGTTTAATTTAATTTATTAAATGCCAGTTTACAGGCATCGTCATCGGGAGGGCACTAATGATAGCGATAATAACAATTTTATTTAATGCCAGTCTACAGACATTGTCAGGGAAGCGTTAAGCACAAATCCGGCCAGCAGTGAAAAGAACTTCTGTCGAAAAGGAATAAAAATAAATTTGACCGCGGTTTTTATGGTTTGGAGGGTTCAGGAGGAAAAACTGCTGGTGGCATACATTCGACCGTCAAGAAGGGTGGGGGGGTTTGCATGGTATCGGAGATTATCGGACGTCAATTCCTTTCATGAAGTTGGGAATAGTCAAAGTAGAGGCGTTGATGAACAGCTGGTGAGACCGGCCATAGTGTTCAGAGACCACAAACGCCATCGCTACGGTAGAGCCGATCAGTGGATTCAGAACCCAAAATTTGTGGAAGCTTTTCTGAATGCAAAAATCGAGTAATGAGTTTTCACACTCACTGGTAGTTTATTCCAAATAGCAATTGCATTTACAGAATAGAACCGACGATATTTAACAGCACGTGCCGGAGGCAGAAATAAGAAGGCGTCATGGTGACTGTTACGTCGTGGGTGGATATGATGTCTTAAAGAAGTGAGTGGGTTAAATGTGTGATTATATAAGAGTTTAAATAGCAAAAATAGTCACTTTTGTAATCTACAGAACCATAAAGGATCAAGGTCTGTAAGCCGGCAACGTTCTTGGTAAGACAAATGTCGGTGTTCTGGGGTTAAAATTGTATTGGTAAAAAAGTGTTGAACGGATTCTATTTTCTTCCGCTCAGTAGCACGCATGAGGCTAAATAAAAACGAACGGTATTCCAAACCAGGTCTAACGTACATGTTATAAAGGCGCATTCTAATATCGTTGGCTTTAAAGTTTCGGAGGATAAACCCGGTCGTTCTGCGTGCTTTGGAGAGTATCAAGGCACAGTGCTCCGAGAGATTGAGACTCTTGGAGTATGATATGCCCAGATCCTTAATAACCCTGGGCACATTTATGGAGTGACCTTCAATATTTAGTAGAGGTTGGTGGTCGTCGCCAACCACCATGACTGAGTTCTGCCGTCGTTGCGAACGGTGTCCACTGTGTGCTCCACTGCAGGGTGAGAGCAGGGGTGGCGACTTCCGCACGAGTTAAAGAGCCGGAGGTGGGAGAGGGCGCAGATGGCTGGCACGGAGTAAGCCCGCACCTAGGTGTACCATCACACCTCCTGGTTCACAAAAAAACACTTGACCAGGAATACGGTGGGCAGCAAGGACTCCAACTGGCGCGGCGCATGCCTGCAACTGGACCTGCCACCGCATCCCGAATTTTGACACGTTTTACGGTTGCACAATCTCGATAAGGCCTGCTCGAACTCCGATGTAGCCCCCGTGTTGACCCGAAGCATCTATTGTGTGGCCCGTCTTAGGGCAAGTGACCTTTTCTTACCAACACAGAGGCGACGGCTTACCCGTTAGCCCAACTGCTTCCCACCCGGCGCG